GGATAGATTGCCTGTCTCTTCATCACTTATTTCTTCTTCTGGGATTTTACCTTGTGACATGACCTGGAAGGTATTCCTCTGCTGCCTCATATTGTCTGAATTTCTATTTGTATTTTTAGGTAGACTAGTTATGTTTATCAACCTCGTAGAAGTGGCCCTCTGTGGGAGACATTCTATGCATCCCAGCAGTACACTGCTCTCTTGTCACCCAAGAGCCAGGGTCCCAGCCGATCCCAGGGTTGAGTCTGGCCTACATTTGCTGATTCCTTCCACAGGCTTTGGGATTGTTGTTTTCTTACTTCTGGTATTGCCCCCTGGTGGATGAGGCTGGACTAGAGGCTTATGCAGGTTTCCTGACAAGAGTCAGTGCCTGTCCACTGCTGGGTGGAGCTTGGTTCTGGCCCTCTGGTGGGTACGGTTGTGTCTAGGGGCATGTCTAGGGGTGGTTGTGGGCTCAGGAAGTCTCCTGATGGGTGGGGCTGCATTCCCACCCAGAATATTGTTTGGCCTGAGGATCCCAGCACTTAAGCCTAAAGGCTGTTGGGTGGGACTAGGTCTTGGAGCTAATGACCCAAGCAAGATGCAGCCTCCAGGAAAGCTCATGTAGATGAAGACTCCCCAAATGTCCATCCACCAGAGTGAGAGATGCAGCCACTCCCTACTCCACAGGAGCCTTTCTAGAACCGGTAGATAGGTCTGGCCCAGGTTCCTATGAAATACTGCCTCTGCTTTTGGACCTGATGTGCACAAGGTTCTGTGTGCACTTCCCAAGAGAGTGAAGTCTCTGTTCCCCTAGTCCTGTGGGACTGCTGGAATTAAGCCCCACTGCCTTCAAAACCAGATATTCTGCAGTCTTTTCCTCCTACTGCCAGAACCCCAGGCTGGGGAGCCTGACCTGGGGCTCAGAACCCTCACTCCTGTGAGAGGGCCTCTGCGACTTAATTATTCTTCAGCTTGTGGGTCACCCACCCCAGGGGTATGGGAAGCTATTATATTGCAAGCTCACCCCGACTACTGTCTGGCTGTAGTTCCCTCTATGTTTCCAGCTGAAGAAGATCTTTTTTGGTAGGTTCCAGTCATTTTCTCGATGGTTGTGTAGTAGTCAGATCTGGTTTTGTTGTAGTTGCGAGGAGGGGCGAGCTTGTGGTCCTACTACTCCGCCATCTTGACCGGAAATTAGATCTGATGTTATTTTTAAGAAACACTACTGAGAACTAACTGGTAAAATGAAAGGATGGACACTCTCGTGTATTATGAGTATGAATGTAAATTGGTACCATTTTTCTGGATAACACTGTGGCTCTAAGTATGAAAATATTTTAGGTTTTGATACCCTCTAACCAGTCAGTCTATTTCTAGAAATAGTTTAAGGAAATAATTTCAAATGCAGGCAAAGTTTTATACAAGAAGGGTGTTCTTTGCACTGTCACTTACATAAAGAATTAGAAGCAATCTGAAGTCTGAAAGTTGGGAAGGGCAGCAGAGAGGACCAGGCACAATCAGGGGCACTTGGCAGCCCATGGCAGGGCTGCAGGGATCAGGCAGGGGACGGGCGGGATTCCAGGGCCTGGTGGGATAAAGGATTTTGCAGAAGCAAGGAGGGCATGGGCTCTGGGAAGCTGAAGCACCAGGAATTTATCAAGGCAGAGATGTGAGCAGAGTGTGCAAGACATCATTTTGGAATAAGAGTAATTTACCAAGAACTATTTTTATATATTGAAAGGAGTAGAGCACAGTTATCATACACATGAGATCTGAATCAGAGAGACTTGAGTTCAAGTCCAGGCTGCAGCACCAGTGGGAAAACTTGGGCTAAGCTGAGTTTAGGTGAGTTTCCAGAGCCCTGCGCATCATAGACCCTGGAGCAATATTAACTATTACCAAGTAGTTAACACAGCTGCTCCCACCCTCACATAATTTGCAGAGTATTCCCTTCCTCTTTTCTTCTGTGTTTGGTTTTATTGCTTCTAGAACTTCCCACATGGCCATCTGTTATCTGAATATCTTCTCCTGTGCCCCAACAGGACAACAGGACTCTGACTTGGCTGGGAGGGAGCTGCATGATGTGAGGAACTTTCCCTAAATAGCCACCAGCAGAGCCCAGGAGACAAAGTCACTGGGTTGAGTCCACTGTGGCGCTGGTGGCCATCCCAGGGGAAACGGCCAGAGACCTGTCCCGTCACTGCTCCCTGTTGCCAGAACTCACTCATGTTCTAGTCCACAATCTATTTTCTCTTCCCTAAGGGTGAAGCCACACTTTCTTCCAGCCTGAATCAAATCGCAAGCTGAAGGGAGGACGCTGACATCCTGCTGCTGGCACCATGACATCAGAAACCAGCAACGACTGCCCAGGTACTCAGCAGCCCCTTCTCTGGCTGGTTCCTACGTGTGACCTAGAGTTGAGGGTGTTGTGACCAGGCTGAGTTAAGCTACAGAGGAATCAAAACCCAAGAAGGGGTTGCCAAGCGTCCTCGAGCCCCCAGAAGGGGCCTGCAGCAGAGGGAGATGGGGAGAGAGACAAAAAGATCTGGTGTTTATTTCTCTATTCTCTTCTAATAAGGATATCAATGTTTCGATAGGAGCCCCCACTGATGACCTCATTTAACCTTAATCACCTCCTTAAAGACCCTATCTTTAAATACTGTCACTTGGAGGCCAGGGCTTCAACATGTGAATTTAGTGAGGGGGCCCAGTTCCCCCTATAATACCAGGTTACTCCATCAACAGTATCCCAGGTGACCTCTAAACAGGAAGATGGATTTGAACAACCTCATACGCAATTATCATTTATCTTCTGCTACAATTTCTTCTAATCTTTTCTTTTTCCATCTAGAGAACAAAAGCTTCTTTGATGATGTCACTGACTATTTCTGGGACGAAGTGAGCAGGGATGAACTGCAACTCCTGCTGACTAAAGTTGAAGCCTGGGAGAGTTTTATGTCTGCGGCTGGTTTGTCCAGGTGACCTGCGTGGATGCCCCAGAAATGTCATCCATATCACCCACCCTCAGCTAGTTTCCTCCTGGCAGGCACACCTCCTCCAGGCAGTATCCTATGGTTGGGGTCAAGGATGTTCCTTCTCAAGAATCCATGAGGAATTTTTCCTCCATGTCATTTGCTGGTGGTGAACGGCCTCGGGTTGAGAAGAGATGAAACTGCAAGGAAGGGGCAGGTTATTGACCTCGGACAAGTTACTTAACTACTCTCTGCCTTGGTTTCTTCATTGTTCGACTTTATTGTGAGGAAACTGAGATAATACACGCCAAGTGCTTAGCATAATGGCTGACACGTAGTAGGTGCTCAGTCCGTGTTAACTTTGAAAAAGCTTTTTGGGAAGAGACCAAGGCCAAGGGTCTTGTTCCTGGAGATGAGAACCAAGCAGGACTTCCTTTGGGATGAGTCAGAAAATTGCTGACAGCGTCAGCTTGTGTCCTGGGGGTTCATTCTGACTGGAGCCCTGGTATCCCCATCTTAGCAATTGTGCAGACACTGCAGGACCCGGGACCCCTAGGGTGGAGAGGCCAGGGTGGAATTGGATGGAGCTGGGTTGGGTCCAGGCTCTATCCTGGCCCAGCACTGGGGCTCTGGGCTTATGTCCTGGATCTCAGATTTGTCATCTGTACAAAGGGAGAAGCAGTTCAATCTGATGGACTGTGGCGATGGCCTTAGAGCGGGGTCCCAGGTGGGGAACCAAGTGCAGGCATCGCGTGCAAAGGTCGAGGGAGCCTGGACCAGAGACAGAGCCAGGGCTCAGGTGCAGCAGAGGGTCCAGGTAGGGGGACTAGTAGGAAGGTGTGGGCCAGAACCAGAGTCGGGGGAGTGACCCCAAGGACACAAAGCTGAAGGGGCTGTGACCCTAACAGAGGTGCCGTGAGTGGGAGAGGGGACACTTCTTCCCTCCCTGACTTGATCCCCTGGTGCTGAGCATAGAGGATCCCGGGTGACTGTGTCCTCCACACCCTGCCTGGGGGCCGGGGGTCTCCACTGCCATGTGGGGCCCTCTTCTATTCTACATAGAGTAGTCAGTCTGAATGCAGTGTGGCTTAGTGACGACTCCACTGTCACAATGAGTGGCTGCCAATTTTGTGTAATTTGTGTTGATTCTGAGGAGACTGTCAAGTCCCCACCCAACAGGAAAATACTTCCTCTACCAGTTTGTCCAAATGCATGTAGGACTTCTCAGGCTTAGCAATTCATACAGATGTTTCCTAAGGTCCCTTGAGTCTTTTGGAGGGTCCATCGACCATCGAGTTGCACATGGCCTTGGTGTGCGGGTACGTGAAGCTGTCACAGCTAAGGTGTGAGTTAGGCTGCTGGCACCTGAGAGCTCAGGGTGCTGGTTGCAGATCAGGAGTCAGTGAGGTGGGCTGGAGAGTCCAGGGGGAACCAGGCTTAACAGCCTCTCTCCTGCTTCCCAGTCAGTTGGGGAAGTGGATGGACCCAGGGACCTTCAGCTGGGAAGATAGAGGGCATGAGGCTTGGAAGAGAGCATAGGTCAGGGAAGTGATCACTAACATCCCTTCTAGCTGTCAGCTTAGTGTTTCTTAAACAAATTCTAACTACTCAGTGTTAGCAAAACTGCAAAGTCTGAGTGCACAGTTCCCAGACTACTTACACCTGACAGCGATGACGAACTTGGAGGATGCCCCAAACCACCCTCCAGTTAGGGAATTCCTGACAAGGATGCACAGGACTCCCTGACAGCTGGCACACTCTCAGGTCCGGTTCACTACAGGGAAGGATGCAGGTTCCCAGCAGCCACAGGGCAGAGTCTGGGAGGGTTTCAAACATGAAGCTTCTCTTGTCCTCAGGACGCATTACTGTCCTGTGTGCAGTGTGTCAGGGCACACGGGTCAGTGCCAACCAGGGGTGCCCAGTGTGTTTCACAAAATGCTCCTGACAGTCCTTAACGTGATAAAGCAGGGTACACTCAGGACTGTGGTGGCAGGTGTGGAGCCCATTGCTGTAGAGCAGACACACTGGGCTCAAGCCTGAACACAGCACAGACACTGGGGGTTTACAGCCAAGGAGCAGAGTGAGGGGTGGTGGAGGAAAAATTACTGAGAGGAGACACCAAGGAGAGGGGATTCCTGTTTATCTTTCCTAACAGGATTCTCGCTAAAGGCAGGCCAAGGACGGATGCATCAAAGGTGGGAGATGAGGAACTTGATCAGTTATCAAAGGCAATCAGACCTCAGAGTGGGGGAGACTCACTACGTGGATTTAGCAGGGTTCCTGCTGAGACTGGGTGATGGGGGCCATCGGGGACAGGACAGGGAAGGGGAAGGTGGAGGCCTGGTTGAGAAGAGGACTCAGAAGGGCCTGACTAATGTTTGGTGAAGGAGAGAGTCTCAGGCACCCCGAGCCTCAGTGCACAGGGTCCTCCTGGGGCTCAATCACATGCTGCCCGCCCGGCTGACCTGAGTCTCCAGCCCCTCCCAGAGATCAGACCAGCGCCCTCGTGTCCAGTTCCCCCAGAGGTCAGGACTGACACCACATGACCAGAGGCCCATCATGCATCACCCTGGCCGACTGTCCAGTGGCAGAAGCGCAGGGAAACCAGGACATTCCTATCAGCCAGAACATTCTAGGGGTTTAGGAATCACGTCCTTAGCCAAGGGCAAAAGCAGGTTGATTCCTCACTGCACCCTAAGCATCTCTGAATGAGGGCTTCTCTGCTCCAGTCCCACTTCTCTGTGTTTATCTGCGGAGTTCCCGCTCTACAAGCACCTTGGAGGTGACGGTGCTGACCTGCCTCTGAGGTGTCTTTATCAAAAACCTCTGTCAAGTTAAGAGTATCTTAAGGTGACTTGTGCTTATTTATTCCTTGATTAAGTGTTGTGGAGCCTCAACAAAGTACAAATCATGTGTTTAAATATAGAGAAAAAAATTTACATTTGTCAAATTCTTTTGTCTTTGATTTATAGTAAAATCCCTGTGATTTATGCAGGATAGGTCTTGTTCAGACTGTTTCACAGAGAACCCAAAACTGCCTTCTTATTCCCTTGACCTTCACTGTTACAGGGAAGAGGCAGACGCACTGCGTGAATACCTGAACAAGCTGAATGGAGAATTGGTCCTGAATGACAAAGACATGCTGCAAAAAGAGCAGCTGGATAGGGAGAGGTTTTTGAGGGAGTTCCCTCGGGTCAAACTGGAGCTTGAGGAATGCATAGGAAAGCTCCACGCACTTGCAGACAAGGTGGACAAGGTTCACAGGGACTGCAGCATCTCCCAGGTGGCGGCCACCTCTGCTGGTGCTGCGTCTGGCATCCTGACCATCCTTGGCCTGGCTCTGGCCCCTGTGACAGCGGGGGTCAGTCTGGCACTTTCGGCAACTGGGTTAGGGCTGGGGGCCGCAGCTGCTGCGACCAGTGTGACCACCAGTGTCGTGGAACGTGTTATCACTTCATCAGCTGAAACAGAAGCCAATGACCTGACGTCAACTGTCATTGACAAAGAGGAGGTGGCTGCAGGGGCTCCTGGTAAACACGCATCCAAACTTGTTCCCTCAACACAGAATATCTTCCAAGCCCTGCAAGGCATTGGGAAGAACGTCCGTGCCATCAAAGTGGCCAAAGCCAACCCTCGCTTAGCCGCCCACGCCAGGGACTTTATGACCACTGGGGGAGTCTCCCTCCGAAGAAGCAAGCAGGTGAGGAAAGCCTTTGGAGGCACGGCTCTGGCAATGACCAGAGAGGCCCGCATCATGGGTATGGCCACCGCAGGTGTCACCCTTCTGCTGGATGTGGCCTCCCTGGTGAAAGAGTCACTGCACCTGCATGCGGGGGCAAAGACGGAGTCGGCTGAGCGGCTAAGGCAGCGGGCCCGGGAGCTGGAGAGCAGGTTGGAGGAGCTCACCCGGACCTACGAGAGTCTGCAGTAGGGCCCAACCCAGAGCAGTGCAGGGAGCAGGGGCCCGCGCGGGGCCAAGGCATGGAGGTACCTTGTTAGAGGGAAGAAGAGGGTGAGATTAAAAACAGAAGTCAGGGTTGCCAAGGAGGCAGGTGGTGGGAAGGGACTGGGATTTCAAAATGTAGAATAGATAAACAAGATTGTACTGGATAGCACAGGGAAATGTATACAAGATCCGGTAGTAGCTCACAGTGAAAAAAAATGTGACAGTGAATATATGTATGTTCATGTATAACTGAAAAATTGTGCTCTACACTGAAACTTGACACAACATTGTAAAATGACTATTACTCAGTAAAAAACGTTAAAAATAAAAATAAATAAATGGGGAGAAAAAGACAAAAGTGGGGAAGCTGGGCTGGTCTGACTCTTGCTTTGGTCTGTCTGGACTATGCTGTCTTCCCACAGGGTGAGAAATCCTTAAACCCTTGAGTATTCAAAAAATGTAATTTTCTTCCCTAAATTTTCCCTCGTGGCTCAAGATGAGTCACAAAATTTCAAATACCACTAGAATTTGTTGCCCATATTCCACTTGGCCTGTGAGTCCCTAGTGGCCACTGGGAGCTGGGTCTGGCTGGGCCCTGGGGACCCACTGCAACTGGGTCCAATGGTCAACTCACTCCTGAAACTGCTTCCACCTCCAGGGAAAGCAGCCTAAAGCCCTCCATCACAGAGGGCTGTGGGCCCCCTTCTCCCGAGTCCACCTCCCCCAACTTCCACGAGCTGGGGAGAGAATTTGGCATCATGCAGCCCTCCGTGAGTTCATCCCGCCCAGGTTTTTGCTGTGATCTGGATTCCTACTTATAGAAAGAGTCCAGAGCTGACAGTGTTACTGGGAGGATGATGAGACAAGGTAGGGACTGACCTTGGCATACAGCAGGTGCTCAAAAAACAAGTCTCTATTTTCTAGCCACTCATGGTCTCTGCATTATCTCCTTTCATCTTTCAAAGCCCCATCTTGTTATCTGCTGCTCTGATTATTCCTGTGCACAGATGAGAAAGCAGACTTAGAAAATTCAGTTATTTTCCTAAGGTCACGAATTTGCCCAAGCCTCCCCTTCTTTGCCCACTGATCCTCACCACCACAATTCAGCTCTTAAATCATAATCTTTATATGCCACTTAATTATTATTATTTTTTAAAGTCCCTGAGCTCACCTCCTCTCACGAGCATGGCAGTCACACATACCTACAGAGCAACCATCAGTGAAAAAGACTGCCGCCTACCAGAGAGGCTCTCCCACAACTAAAGACGGAAGGAACCACAACGGGATGGGTAGGAGGCGTGGACTCCCGATATAATCAAATCCATACCCTCCAGGTGGGCAGCCCACAAACTGGAGAATAATTATATTGCAGAGGGTCTCCCACAGGAGTAACACTCTGAAGCCCACCTTGGGCTGCCCAGCCTGGAGGTCCCACACCTGGGAGACAAGTCCCCAGAGCACTTGGCTTTGAAGGCCAGTGGGGCTGAACTGCAGGAACCCCGCAGGGCTGGGGGAGATAGAGACTTCACTCTTACAGGGCCACACGGAACCTCATATGCACTGGGACCAGGGCAAAAGCAGTCATTTGATAGGAGCCTGGGCCAGACCTACCTGCTGGTCTTGGAGGGTCTCCTGGAGGAGCGGGGGCCGTTTGTGGCTCATCCTGGGGACATGGACACTAGTGGCATATTGGGGAACATTCAGCTATGTGAACAATATCTTGGTTCATTAGCACCAGGCCCTACTCAGCACCACCCGACAGCCTGCAGGCACCAGTGCTGGGACACCTCAGGCCGAACAACTAACTGGGAGGGGACACAGCCCCACCGAGCAGCACACAGGCTATCTAAAGGCTCCCTAGACGCTGCTCACCATAGGGCCAAGACCCAGACTCACTTGCCAGAAAGCAGGCACCAGCCTCTCCCCTCTAGAGCAGCCTCACCCACCAAGAGGGCAGACACCAGAAGCAATAAAAATACGATCCTGCAATTAGGCCAAACGCTGCCCTGGGACCTCTTGGCCCTGGCCCTGCTCACTAGCAAGTCAACACAGCCTTCGGGACACCCTGGACCCCATACCCAGCTAGCTCAGGATCTGCCCTCAACTTACGATCCAAAATGAGCTTGGGATCTCCCTGAGCCCTGCAGCCAGACTCCAGGAACCAGCTCTGACTGCCAACAAACTGGCACTAACCTCAGGATCCCGCTTCACCTGCCAGTGAGTGGGAAACAGCCCCAGAGTCTTCAGGACCCTGAATCTGCTAACCAGTGAGCCCCCACTAGCCCTGGGCACCCCTAGAGTTCCCCAAACAGGCCCCTTGTGACCGGGCCCCACGATACAGTAAGCCAGCAGCATCTACACAAAGCAGGATCTGGCATCCAACCAGGCTAAGGGCCAACCCAGTTACAAGACCACACACATAGCCCACCACAATAGAAGGACCCAGGCAGCCCCCTTAGGGGGACCCCTAGAGCATACAGCTTGGGTGACGGCAGGGGAGTGCACTGCTAGGACGCCTAAGATGTCTCCTTGAGGGTGCCACTTCTCCAAGGTCGAGAAACATAAGTAACCTGCCACATCCATAAAATACAAAAAGCAACTTACACAACATGAGGCAACAGAAGAATATGTTACAAAGGAACAAGATAAAACCCCAAAGGAAGAACTAAGTGGAGATAAGCAGGCTGCCTGAGAAAAGAGTTCAGAGTAATGATTGTAGAAATGACCAAAGAACTAGCAAGGAGAACGGATGCATCAAACAAGAAGTTAGAAGTTTTTAACAAAGATTTAGAAAATATAAAGAACCAAATGGAGATAAAGAGTACAATAATTGAAACGAAAAATACACTAGAAGGAATCAACAGTAGACTAAATGACACAGAAGAATGGATCTGCGAGCTGGAAGACAAAGTAGTGAAAATCACTACCACAGGACAGAAAAAAGAATGAAAAGAGATGAGGACCATTTAAGAGACCTCTGGGACAACATCAAAGGCACAAATATTCACATTATAGAGGTCTCAGAAGGAGAAGAGAGAAAAAAGTCCTGAGAAAATACTTGAAGAGATAATACCTAAAAACTTCCCTAATCTGGGAAAGGAAACAGTCACCCAAGTCCAGGAAATGCAGAGTCCGATATAGGATTAACCCTACGATTAATACACCAAGACACATTGTAACTACAATGACAAAAATTAAAGATAAAGAGAGAATATTAAAAGCAACAAACACACATAAGGGAACTCCCATAAGATTATCAGCTGATTTTTCAGCAGAAACTCTGTGGACCAGAAGGGAGTGGCATGACTTATTTTAAGTTATGAAAGGGAAAAACTTACAAAAAAAAAAAACACTGTATCCAGCAAGGCTCTCATTCAGATTTGATGAGAGATCAAAAGCTTCACAGATAAGCAAAAGCTAAAAGAATCCAGCACCACAAAACCAGCTTTATAACAAATATTAAAGGAACTTCTCTAGGCAAAAAAGAGAAGGCCACAACTAGAAACAAGAAAGTTATGAAATGAAAAAGCTCACCAGTAAAGGCAAACATACCGTAAAGGTGGGAAATCACAAACAAAACTAGTAGTGGGGTTAAAAGATAAAAATAGTAAAATCACCTGTGTCCACAGTAAGCAGTTAAGGGATACACAAAGCAATCAGATGTAAAATATGATGTGAAAACGTAGTCATGAGGGGAGGAAAGCACAAATGCAGGGTATTTAAAGTGCATTTGAAATTGAGAGACCAGCAACTTAGAGCAATCATATATATAGAGAGAGACAGAGACAGAGAGAGACAGAGACTGCTGCACCAAAACCTGATGGTAACTGCAAACCAAAAATCTATAATAGGTACACACAAAAAGAAAAAGGAATCCAAGTATGACACTAAAGATAATCATCAAATCGCAAAAGAACAGAAGAAGAAAGGGGAAAAAAGAGACATATAAAAACAAATCCAAGACACCAAAATGGCAATAAGAACACACGTATCAATAATTACCTTAAATGTAAACAGACTACTACAACCAAAAGACACAGCCTGGCTGAATGGATACAGAAATAAGACGTATATATGCTCCCTACAAGACTCACTTCAGCTCTAGACACACATGCAGACTGAAAGTGAGAGGATGGCAAAAGGTATTCCGTGCAAATGGAAATCAAAAGAAAGCCAGAGTAGCAATATTTAAATCAGTCAAAATGCACTTTAAAAATAAAGTGTATTACAAGAGACATGGACACTACATAATGATCAAGTTATCAATCCAAGAGGAGATAATAACTGTAAACATATATGCACCCAACAAAGGAGCCCTTCAATATATAAGGCAAATATTAAGACACAAAAGGAGAAACCAACAGTAACATAATAAGTGTCATTAACAACTCCACTTACGTAAATGGACAGATCATCCAGAGAGAAAATCAATACGGAAACACAGGCCTTAAATAACACATTAGATCAAATGCACTTAATTGACAGAACGCTCCATCTGAAAGCAGCACAATACACATTCTTTCCAAGTGCATGTGGAACATTCGGCAGGATAGATCACATGCTTGGCCACAAAATGAGCCTCAGTAAATTTAAGGAAATTGAAATCACATCAAGCATCTTTTCCAACCACAACACTATGAAACTAGGAATCAACTACAAGGAAAAAACTGCAAAAAACCCCACAAACACATGGAGGCTAAACAATATGCTACTAACCAACCAATGGATCACTGAAGAAATCAAAGAGGAAATTTAAAAAAACAAACATGGAGACAAATGAAAACACAATGATCTAAAACCTCTGGGACGCAGCAAAAGAAGTTCTAAGAGGGAAGTTTATAGCTAACAAGCCTACCTCAGGAAAAAAGAAAAATCTCAAATAAATAACCTAACTTTACATCTCAAGCAACTAGAGACAGAAGAACTAACAAAACCTAAAGTTAGTAGAAGAAAAGAAATCATAATGGTGAGAGCAGAAATAAATGAAATAGAGACTGAAAAAAACAAAAGATCAATGAAACTAAAACTTGATTCTTTTAAAAGATAAATTGAGAAACATTTAGCAGACTCATCAAGGAAAAAAAAAGGAGGGCCCAAATTAATAAAATCAGAAATGAAAAAGGAAAAGTTACAACCAATACCACAAAAATGCAAAGGATCTTAAGTAACTACTGTGAGCAACTTATGCCAATAAAATGGACAACCTAGAAGAAATGGACAATTTCTTAGAAAGTTACAATCTCCCAAGACTGAACCAGGATGAAATAGAAAATATGAATGGACCAATTACCAGGACCGAAACTGAATCAGTACTTTACAAACTCCCAGCAAAAGTCCAGGACCCGATGGCTTCACAGGTGATTTCTACCAAACATTAAGAGAAGAATGAACACTTTTCCTTCTGAAACTATTCCAACATATTGCAGAGGAAGGAACAGGTCTGAACTCATTCTATGAGGCCACCATCACCCTGATACTAAAGCAAACAAGGACATCACAAAAAGAGAAAATTACAGGCCAATATCACTGATAAACATAGATGCAAATATCCTCAACAAAATACTAGCAAACCGAATCCAACAGGATCTTACACCAAGACCAAGTGTGATACACCACATTAATGAAATGAGGAATAACCATGTGATCATCTCAACAGATACAGAAAAAGCTCTTGATAAAATTCAACATCCATTTATGATTTAAAAAAAAACAACTCTGCAGGAAGTGGGCATAAACAGAACATACTTCAACATTATACAAGCCATATATGACAAACCCAGAGCTAACATCAAACTCAGTGGTGAAAGCTGAAAGACGTGTCCACAACCTGATCTCTGCGACCTGTGAATGGGCCTCATGTGGAGAAGGGTCTTTGCAAATCCTTTAAGGTAAACGTCTTGAGATGAGATCACCATGGACCATCTGGGTGGGCCCTAAATCCAGTTCCTTATGAGAGATGCACAGAGAGACAACAGGGAGTAGCCATAGAAAGGCGGAGGCAGAGATTGGATGATGCAGCCACAAGCCAAGGAACGCCTGAAGCCACCACAAGCTGGGACAGGCAAGGAAGGGCTCCTCCCAGAGCCTCCAGGGAGGGTGTCTCCGTGGACAGGAAGTAGCCCCCAAGAGCCCCCCAGTGATGCCCCCACCTACTTCTCCCTTCATCTCCTGCTGCTCCCCTCCCAGGGGCTGAAGTGCCCCTGCTTGGAGGCCGGATGGGTCAGCTGCTGGAGGCCTGATGAGAGTCCTCTCTGGGGGCCTGCGGTTTCCCTAGCCAGTGTGGAAAGCCTTCTCCTCCCTTCCCTCCTGCTTGCAACTCAAGGGACATGTCTTCACTGCCCTTGAACTCCCAGGGCCTAGGGAGGGACCGGGTTTATGCTAAGCCTTTGTTAAAAGAATGAAGAAATGAATGAACAAAAGCTTTGACAGTCCTCTGAAGAGCCCCTGCTCCAGCACCCACAGGCCTGGGTGCCAACATCCCCATTCCCGCTTCCAGGGCAGCTGGGATGAACCTCCTCCACAGGGCAGGATTTGCCTCCTCTGATGTCTAAGGAAGTTCCTGGAAGCTAGCACCTGGGCATCCCCTCTCTATCCTCAGGACCAGCTCACTGTGGAACACACAGTAGGTGCTCAGTAATCGAAATGCACCAAGATTTATGAGATGCTCTTAGCATCTTCGAGTCTGGTCAGCCTCCCTTTCTGCACGACTGCCACCCTCCTCTGAAGCCTGTGCCCCAGCCATGCTGCACTCCTGGAAGCTTCCAGAAGTTAGGCAAAGTAGGTGCCTGCTACAGAAGCAAAACACAGTCCATTCCAGATGACCCAGGTCCAGTCCCTCCTAGGCCACCTGCTCCCAGACAAACACTCCCAGGTACACGGCTCGTAGCACACGGTACTCTTTATTGTGACGCTCAGTGGAAAACATCTGTAAACCAGCTTACTGTAGTGGTGACAGCTGCAACCATGCTAAGGCACTTTTATCATATAAAAAAAGGGCAGGGGTGGGAGTTCTGTTCACTCCTTCGTGACAGCAACCTGAATTCGGAGCTTTTTAGGCATATGTAGCTTTTATGTATCTTCATGATTTGTTGAGAGTTGGTTTCCTTTAAAAGAAAAGGCCTTCTCTGCCATAAGTAAGTCTAAATGCAGCATATACAAAACAGTTAGGAATACAGGGAAATTCAGCAACCAGTGTAGACCAGTGTAGGATAAGCTACTCTCTTCTAGACACGGTTCCAAAGGAAAGGCAGTGATAAAGACTTGGAATTTTATCATTTATTATAGGAAGAGGGAGAAAAGAAACTCTTTTTATTCCTTTTAAAAATACCTGCGCAGATGGCGGAGTTCTGAACTATACTGAGCCAACGGTGCCGGTCACTACCCGCGGCCCCGGTCCTGGCGTAGGGACGAGACCGCGTGGGAGGGCCTCTGGCCCTTTCTACTGTTCTGGCTGTCAGACTTGGGACGAGTCCCTTAACCATTAAATATATTTGGTCCCCAAGAGTGTTGGGAGAGGCCACTGCCGGCCTTTCCAGCTTGGCCCCAAGGCCCTGTCTGCTCGGCCCAGCAGCCCCGCTGTGGCGGAGGCGGGCTGCCCTCGGCAAAGGAGGGAAGGGGTCATCATTGCACTTGAGACGTTTCAGAATCAGGAGGCGGACGGGGCGCTGCCCAGCGCGGGTGGGGAGGAATGCCCCTCCTCGCCGCCCCAGCATCCTGTGCCCTGCACAGAGGTGGACCCCCTGGGCCTGCTCGTGCCGGACCACCCAGAGCCCCTGGGAGCCGGGGCCAGCGGGGCAGAGGGTGTGAGGTCACCGCGTGTGATTGCCAACAGCAAAGAAGGGAGAGGGAAGAGCTGGTGGAGGAGGCGGGGAAAGAGACGACTCTTCTGGGGTGTCGGGCTATCAAAACTCATTAGTCTGAAGAAAAATAGATTCGTAGAAAAGGCTCCTGCCCCTCCCTGGTGCCCTGCCCTCCTCGCCTCACCATCTTGTGCTTCTTGGCAAGAGAGGGCAGGAGAGCCTGCTGGTCGCTCTGTCCCCAGGCCGGGGGCCCAGGACCCTGATTCTTTGGTATCAGATTTTGGGGACAGTGGGGTGGAGGGGAACAGGAGGAGCTGCAGCAGAAGAAGCCAAACACCCTCAACAAGGCCTGGGGGGAAGGGCGGGGAGGCAAGGCCTGAGGTCCCCTGGCCTGGGGGCACGGGTGGGGTCACGGTCACAGCAGTCCCAAGAGGGTGGAGGGGGTGCTGCGGGGGCTGGGAAGGGGAGGCGGAGTTGGCGTCATCCGTCTCAGGCAGCAGGAGAAGAGGTTGTTATTCGGCAGCTTTGGCCTCAGCCCCGTCGGCTTTGCCGTCCACCTCCTCGTCCGAGCAGTCACCGGCACCTTTCCGGGCCATCCGGCGGGGCACGACAAATGGCAGGTCCCCACGCCTGGGGGCAGAGGCAGTGGTAAGCAGGGCTGGCCAGGCGGTCACAGGACAGCTCACACACTTCAAAGCGGTCTTTAAAAGGAAACTAGCTCCTGACATCCCACGGGGAGAAGCAACGTGGGGCCTCCAGAGCCACAGCTCCAGGGAGGACAGGATGCCTCTCAGAAAGCAGGTGACTGAAGCTTCCCGCTTTACCCCAAAACACAAGCAAAAAACCAGCAGGACAAGGGGGACAGCACAAGAGCAAACAGAGCCCTTTGGGCAAAATACCACCTTCTGGTCAAACTTAGAACCAAACAGGTGACACCAAGAGACACAGAATGACTGTGACAGTGTACAAAGGTGGGCGTCTTCTGGGCCCGGGTAAGAATATCACACACTGACTGTAACACCAGCTCTTGCTGCTTTTATGCTTTGTGAAAAGGAGGTAAGCAGTGGGAATCTCAGCCCAAAAGACTCTGCCTCAACCATTTCACACTTCTTGAACGTGACACTCCTCTGAGAAGCGCAGGGCCATGGGAGATGCTCATGTTCACCCAGCAAACATGTAGGAGGCACCCAATCTGTGCCAGGGCCCAGCCGGGCTGCCTCAAGCCACTTCTAATTCACAACAGCTGGAAACATTCTCATCAGGCTTTGAGGGTGCAACAAGGGCAGACTTTCCAGATAGGATGGGAATAAATTACCCGAAGGGCTTACTGTTCATTCAAAAGGCCGGGCTGCAGCCCAGGGAGCACAAAGCACCAGGGAGGGTGTCATCAACCACCTTGCTCACTGACGTCTAATTGAGAAAGGCGACCAAGTTTATAAGGAGTCTAATTTTCTGAACTCTGCTTTCTAGGACAAACTAATTTTTGGAAGGTGAAAGAATCTGGCGAAGGGGCTGGGAGGCCGGGAGGCCGGGGAGGCTCACCTGAGCTTGTTCTTGAGGGAGCTGACCTCGCGGTTCATGGCATCCGCGGTCTCGGTGGCGTCCTCCAGCTCGCGCTGCAGTTTCCGGCGGGAGGCGTTGGCCCGCTGGGCCTCCTCCTCCGCCTCCTCCAGCTGCCGCTTGAGCTGCTTCAGGCGGGTGGACGCCTTGTCCGCCTGCGGAGACGGGACCACCCCCGGTCAGGATTCCGCGCACCTGCGGCCCTCCCTGCCGTCCTCCCCACGGGGCGGGGCCTGCACCACCGCCAACACACCTGGTCCTTGAACTGCTCCGCGTTCCTCCGCTCATCATCCACCTGCAGCAGCACATCCTTCAGCTTCTTCTCGGCCCGACGCACCTGCTTGCACGCTGCCTGGCGCTCCCTGTGAGGCAGAAAGACAGTGGCTCAGGGGGAGCATCCTCTTTCATGAGGGTCTGGCCAAACAAACCACAAGCTGGACCACCCATTCCCAGGCTTCCTCTGCCGCAGGTACTTCCCCCTGTAGGGAGGCTGGATGCTACGGAGGACTGTCTTTACTGAACAACCTCTCTCATGGGAGGCACTGGGATTAGCCCCATTTCACAGATGAGAAAACTGAGGCTCGGAGAAGGGAAATGACACATCTCAGAGAGTATACATGTAGCTAGGAGAAGGGGCAATTGACCCCCAGTACTACTAAAGAAGTCTCAGATGAGTTGCTCAGGTGAGTGGGAACCCCATCTCTCTCTGAATCAGCCCTCAGAGACAGCCACTGGGCTCCCCAACTTTAGAGGTGGGCCGTGTACCCCAATCCAATCTCCATAAGGCCCCAGGGAGAGGAGTGGGAGCCCCGTCAGGGTGGGGGAAACAGCCTCTGGGCCTCAGGGCACCCACTTGGTCTCGTTGTCCAGCTGCTCCTCCAGCTGTGCAATCTTGGCCTCCAGGGCGGCGATGGAGGCCTTGTACTTGGACTTGACGGTGCCCTCCATCTCCTGCAGCTTGACCTTGAGCTCCTTGTTCTGGCGCTCCAGCTGCTGCCGTGCGTTCTCGTTCTTCTGGGCGTGGCTGCGCTCCAGGTTCAAGTCAGTGTTGATCTGGTCGATCTGGAGAAACAAAGGCTGGTGACTTCGACGAAGGCAGAGGCCGTGGCTGGGGGCAGAGGAGGGGCAGCTGGACCCTGCTGAGCCCCTGATCAAGCCCTCCCAGAAGAGGGAGCTTCCCAACAGGAAAGGTCCAGAAACCCGAGAGAGAAACCGAGGACGTTCTCCCCTAAGCACCAAGGGCGGCGGGCTTCTAACCAATGGGGAGGCCTACAGGCTTCACCGAGGGGGACCCGGCAGCCCCGGCCCCCTACCTGCAGGTTCGCCTTCTTCAGCCTGTCGTTCACCAGCTCCGTATTGCCCTGCTCCTCCTCCAGCTCCTCCTCCAGCTGCGCGATGCGGGCCTCCAGGCGCCGCTTCTCCTCCAACGCCAGGGCGCTGGGGAGGGCAGGGAGAGGTCAGAGGGACCAAATTAGAGGCGGTACCCCCACACCTGCCTCCCCGCTCAGAGGGACACCCGGCACTCGCCCCAGGCTCACCCTTTGCCGCTGCTGTTGGCAATCTCGTCGGCCAGCTCGTCCCGCTCCTGCTGGGCCTGGCGCTTGGCTCGCTCGGCAGCAGCCAGCTCCTATCAAGGGAATGCAGATCGTGACCTGCTGGGACTGCCTGCAGGCCTGCAGCCCTGACAGCCCACCTCCTCCGTTCCCAGTACTCTGAGCCCCTAGCCCCTGTTCTCAAACCCCTTCCCAGGTCTGCCTTCTCCATGAAGCCCATCCTCGTGAGTCCCTCTGGGGTTGAAGCTTAGGCACCATATGTTTATACAGTCCCCATATCTAAGTGCTAGGAACCAGGCCAGGTGTTGGGGATGTTGCAGTAAATAAGAAGCCGTCCTGCCCTAAGGGGATGCTGGCCCTGTGTTCCGGGTGGACGGGGAGCCCAGGGGACAGGACAGAGACGTGAGTTAAGACTAAGGCGCCAGGGCTCTGAAAGCCGGTGGGGGAGCTGGGCCTCACCAGAGACCCCCATGTGCAGGAGGTCAGGGCTGACAAGGACAGGCCTGGATGCAGAACTCAGTAGCCAGTAACCCCACTGCGAGAGCCTGGGGAGCATGTTCACAGTCTGCCTCGTGTGAGGGATAAGGCCACTAAGGGGACACTCAGTGCAGTAAGCCTCTGGGAGGGATCCCTCCTCACCAGGCACCAAGTCACAGCAGGTGGTGATTACCACAAAGCCTCATTTCATGCAAGGGAGGAGCCGGCTCCAATGGTGACAATTTAATTCACACACCCGGTTTAGTCACACCAGGGAACCTCGCTACTTAATGAAACCCTGTGGGGCATTCTTTCATTGAAGCAAGAACCACCCCAACCCATTCCTGGAGTTCGGCCAGTTTTTCCAGGCCTGCCTGGGTGGCCCAGGCAGCGGGTGGCAGTCCTGAGCTGCCACCTGCTGGCCAGAGGGCAGCAAGCCCGGACGCCCCCTCTGCAGCCCACCTCCTGCAGCTGAATCATCTCGGCCTCCATGCTCTTGAGCTTCTTCTCGTTCTCCTTGGCCTGCGCCAGGATCTCCTCGCGGGAGGCGCGCGTGTCCTCCAGCTCCCGCATGTAGTCCTTCATCTGGGCCTGGGGGCGGGGAGGAGAGGCTTGGCGCCGCCACCCCAGACACTCCTGTGCCCCCAGCACCCCCACAGGGACACCCCGCCAACAGGGACCTGTGGCTGGTTTTCAGCCTGATGCCCCATTCAACCAATTTAACTGTATAAGGGCAAAATAGTAAAGACAAAGTGTGTCTTCAACCAATACCACTTTGTACCCTCTTGGGCGTTGGGAGTCACAGAGCACACCCGTGGGAGTTAGTCACTAGGCCCGTATTAATTAAGCTGTATTTCTGTTTACTCTCTCTGACTTCCTGTTGACGTGAATCCCGCTCTCTGGCCCCATCCCCACAGCATCCACCGCTCAGGTCAACACCCACCTGCCAGGTTAGCCCCACCACGTGGCACGTGTTCTTCTCCTGTGACTCACTTTAACTCTAAAGATCTTTTTCTTTTTTTCCTTTTGCAGATAAATCCCAAATTGAGATTCTCCAGGACAAAGGGTGTGACCCTTGCTGGGCATGGCCGGGTGGTACCCAACAGAACCATCACCAGCAATGAGGGCACCTAGGCCCCCGCGACCTTGCCAGCCACACCGGATGTTCAAATTTGTCCTTATTGTTGCTGGTTTGCTGGGTATGATGCATCATCCCAGAGTGGGTTTTTTTTCAACTTATTATTCTTTAATTATTGATGAGACAAAAATTTCCTAGCATGTGTTCTGTACCGCTGGGCTGCTCAGAACCTTCCATCATCATCCATTAAGGCTGGATCGGGTCAGCTCCTGGGTCACGTCTGGTTTATTCTGGAAATCTGCCACTGAGTGATTAAGTGACTATAACGCCATTGCAGCTGTAGGTTTACACTTGTTCGATTCTTTGCTGAAAGCACTCGAAGTCAGCAAGCTTACTGCAACTTAGCTTCTGACTGCTTTGTTTCTACTCAGCCTCTGAGTTTCCATCTGGGAGGTGGATCTAAGAGCACCCAAGCCCTTCCCCAGGGAGGGGAAGGTGGCACTTCCCAGCATTCACCAGCCACCCCACGAGTGTCCCAGCCCTCTGCTGACCACCGTGTGTAGCTGCATCCAGCTTGGTCTGGCCTGAGCTCACCTGCAGCTTTCGCAGCTGCTTAATGGCTTCATCTCGGTTCTTGTTGGCTGATTCGATGTGGGCCTCCAGGTCCTTCAGGTCCATCTCCAGCTTCTTCCGAGCAGCCACAGCGATCGAGCGCTGCTTCCTCTCGTCCTCCAGCTCGGCCTCCATCTCCCGCACCTGGGGAGACACCGACGGCTCAGGAGGCCCAACATACCCAAAGAGCCTGCCTCTGCTGGGGTCTGAGTGGGCTTGGTCCAGTCCTGTGGGATCCACGGACCTCCGGGAGCCAATGAGGATTACTAACTATAAAACCCTGGGAGAGGGAGTCGCTGACCCCCTGGGACATGGAGGGCACGGTCAAGGGGACTCCCACAGTCCAGGTGGAGGAAGGAGAATGGAGCTGCCGAACCCAGGGTGGTCCTGCCTGCCTCCCAGGGGGTGGGAGGGCCATGCGCACCTGTCTGACCAGCTGCTTCTTCTTCTCCTCACTCTGCTCGTCGCGACCCTGCAGGTCCCGCTCGAACTGGGCCTTCATGGCCTGCAGGTTCACCTCCAGCCGCAGCTTGGCATCCTCGGTGGCCTGCAGCTCATCCTCCAGCTCCTCGAGCTGGGTCTTCATCTCCTCCACCTGCTGCTCCAGGGCCCGCTTGGACTTCTCCAGCTCGTGGACCTGCCGCCAAGGGGACCCGGTCAGGAGCAGAGGGTCTCGAGGTCCCCAGCCTCTGTGTCCACTCAGCCCCTGATCCTTCGTGTATGGAGACCACCCCCGCCCACCGCGCTGAGAGTCAGCTGCGGGCTCCGGGACTCACGCTCTTGCCGACGTCGTCCTTGGAGCTCACGAGGTCCTCCATCTCCGTGCGGAACTGCTTGTTGAGCCGCTCCAGCTCCGCCTTCTGCTCCACGGCCTCCTCCAGCGCCCGGGCCAGAGACAGCGCCTTGGTCTCCTTCTCCCGGGCCTCCGCCTCCGCCCGGTCGCGCTCCTCTGCGTACTTGGCGGAGATGGTCTTCTCCTCGGCCAGGAGCTAGGAGAGAGGCGGGCACCATGAGGTTCAGCGCCTGCCGGCCTCAGGCAGGCAGAGCCTCCAGACCTAAACTCCCTGGGGGAGGGGGGTGCTGGGGCCGGGTCTGGGGGGGAGGGGGGACCAAGGAGAGCAGGAACAGGGTGCTTCCAGGGGACCCCACTGCTTCCAAGGGTGACACGCTGTGCAGTGACCTCGTAACCAGATGAGGGTTCTGCCTCCATGATTGAGAATCTGTGTAACTTTCTCCCTTGGTAACCATGGTCCTTTCCATCACTCAGTGCCCCTCCCTGGAGAGCCCACAGGAAATATGTCACCCTCAGGACCTGGAAAGGCCATGGTTCCCCTGAACAACTGGTGGGAGTTCACCCTGAGAAGCACGTGAACCTGGCTACTCAGAGGCCCAGATCCCACTTGTGGCCCTCCTCCAAGGATGTGCGTCTGAATTCCCCTGGCGTCCAC